TCTCGGCTGCACGCAGACCCGCAGCTCTGAGCTGCCGCTGACTTGAGGAGAGCTAACGCATGAAGTTAGGCAAGGCTGACTCACTGGGCAGAAGGAAAGGTTTTCTGCTGCTCTTCACGTTTTGGGGGCCCTGAGGGCAGAGGTGGGAAGGAGGCTGCCGTTGTCATTTTGGGGTGGAGGATGGAAAGACGTATAACTGTGAAGGTTCTCATTTAGGAGCTCAGGACTCACCCTTCCTCCATCTCCAGCCTTCATTACTTGAAAACCCCCATCCTTAAAGATAATGGCAGAAAACGGTGCCCTGTACAGCAAGCATTTTGCACTTTCAGGGAAGTTCTCTTAAGCACCAGCTATTACCAATACAGTGACTTTGGCCTTGTAACTTAACCTCATGGTCCCTTCCCCTCTTTCCATCTCTCCTGTCTGCAGAAAAGATGTAATACAGACCAGTCTCCTCCATAGTTCATGAATCTGCAATAAGTCGTTTGGAAATTTGCATCGAGTAAACCCCTAAGAACGGAGAGCTTTGCCTTCTTGCTCCAGAGGGCAGCTCGTCCCCATCTGGGTTGTGTTTGTTAGAGGCCTGGGGGATTCAGGAGGACTTTTTCCAACTTCAAATGATGCTCCCCTGAGAGAGATCTTTAGGGAGAGGACAGAACCGGAGACTGCGGGTAAGATTCCAGGTTCTTTGGTCGGAAGACTTTGGAAGCCTTGCTTTTCCTCAGTTTCCCCATCTGCATTTGTAGGGCAAACTGGATTCATTTGAGCAAAAGAAAGGCCACAGCTGCTTCTAGGTTCTTCCAGGCTGGGACTGGTGCTGAGGGATGGTTTGAGAAGAGCATTCCTTTCCTGAGGCTAGAGCCCCAAGCTTTGTGCTGCGGGAGACCTTTGTGACCAATGTCAAAGCAAGAACTCTGGGAGTCAGCCAGAGCAGGGAAAAGGAAATGGCACCTTCATTTGCTATTAGAAAAGACTGACTATTCCTGTACATAAATCTGCCCTTAACACTGCCCACTGCCCTCCATCACCATCAACTCTGCTATTCTTCAACATATGCAGGTGGCCTTTTTGGTGACTCTCGCCCTACTTTCCATTTCCTCCTCTCCCTCTTGGCCATGACTCTAAAAGAAGGGCTGGTTAATTCATCTGGAGGTCAACTATGAAAGGTCAGGCACATGCACTGAGCATCCTGCTTTCTCTTAATAACTGCTAGGACTTATGATCTATGGATTTAAACCCCTGTGTATTTTCAGTTGGTACATTTTTTTTATTGCATGTCACATGGTTTATCTCCCATTGGGGAGACTTTTATTTGTCATTAATCTACCTCTTTTAAATTCCTGCAGTAGCCCTTAGCAATTTGGGATCTAAAGCTTAAGGCGTCTACAAGTGGTAGAAACTAACTTTCAACCTAATAATTTCTGCCATTAACTAACAGATCTTAGTGAATAGCTATTTTCTTTTAAATAATTCCATTCTTCCCTTTACCCAACATGTCCCTTGTCAAGAGTGGTTGTTACCAATACCTAATGGGAAAGCCCAGATCTGAAGTGACCTAGCCAACAACAGAAAAAGTAAAGTCCCTATTTCAAAGTCTTTACAAAATAAATAAACTCTCCTGTGAACAGCGTGGGAACACCTCTCATTTTGGGTCTCCCTGCATTTGATAGAATATCTATTTGGTTCTTAAATGTGGTGCCAAGCGTAATATTTAAAAGGGCTGGCATAATTTTGCAGCTTTTGACCTCATTGGAAATCTTATTCACTTTGAAAAAAAAAAAAAAAGAAGAAGAAGAAGAAGAGAGAGAGAGCATTAAAATGCAGCATGAATCTCATGACATTTTTGAGAGTAAGATTTTCATTCTGAGATGATATTTTCTGCAGTAGCCACTGGAATGACCACAGGGAAGGGGAAATTCTCCCCTCACCAAGAGCTTCCTGTTATTTTGGATGTCCACCAGCAGGTTAAAATAATCAGGGTGGGAAAAAGTTATGGATGTTTATACAATTCCCAGCTTGCTCCTAGAGCATTCAACAGTTATGACCCTCTTGCCCTTCCTCTCCGTAGACCAATGGTTCTCAACTGGGAGTGATTTTTGTGCCCCAGCAGACATTTGGCAATGTTTGGAGACCTTTTTGGTTGGTAGAGTGCTACTGGCATCTAGTGGGTAGAGGCCAGGAATGCTGCTGAACATCCCCCAAAGCACAAGTCTGCCCCCCCAAAGCACAAGGCTGCGCCCCCCCCCCCCCAATTATTTGCCTGAAATGCAGAGGTTGAGAAACTCTGGTCTAGACTTTGAGGGCTTGTTAGATTGAGGACTTGGAATGAGAATGGAAGAGAGGGCAGCCATTGGCAATCCTTTAATGTGGTCCCTGCTCTCTTTAGCCCCTGCTTTCAGTTCCCTCTCTATGGAGGAGAACAAGAGAGGAAACAATCATCATAGCTTCCATTAACTGAGTGGCATGTACTAAGTGCTGGAATTTTTCGTTTGATCTTCACAATAAGCCCTACTGACTATAGACTCCTTGAGAGTAGAGTCCATATCTGTTTCTCTCATTACTGTACACATTATGTCTAGTACAGTGCCTGGCACATGGCAGGCCCTCAATGTTTGGATAAATGGAGTAACTGTATCTATTTTATACATGAGGAAAATGAGGCCTGAAGAGTCTAGACAGGTAGTGTAACTAGCCGAGTCAGGATTTAAACTGAACCCTTTGTGACTTCAGCCCCAAATCACTTACCCACTGAATTATGTCTTTCACTGGCAACACCAGAGAGGATTTCTAGCCTCTAAAGACACTAGCGAGGGTCCAGAGCAAAATAATTTTTTTTTAAGAACGCACGAAATACAGAACTACCTCTACGTGGAAACCAAGGTGGAAGAAGGGCCTCATGGAAACTTTCTGTGGTACGGATGGGATCATCCCCGGTTTCTGAACCGTGATCTTGGCTTTTCAAATGCTTGTGTGTGCGCCAGCCGAACAGCACATTTTGCGATGGGGGAACTGAGGCATGGAAGTTACATGAAAAAGTGGTAGTAGATAGAGGACTAGAACATGGCACTTCAGGTAATGAATGCTCCAGGTCCTGGGCACCCGCCGGAAGTCGCTGAGAAAAGAGCTTCCCGGTAACTGGCTCAAATTCTTCCTTCCCAGAAGTAAAGCCCAGATAACTTCTTAGTCTTTACACCCTGGAGACAGAAGTCGCACTGGACTACATTTCCCAGCAGCCATTGCGGAATTTGGCAAAGCGCCGGCGCACTGTGTGTGTGTGTGTGTGTGTGTGTGTGTGTGTGTGTGTGTGTACACTACCAATCCCGGTGTGCAGTGGGAGGGGGCGGGACTACATTTCCCAGGAGGCAGAGGAAGGGGCGGGATGGGGCGGGCCTCGGTGCTGCGCCCGCCCCTCCCCCGTGCTCGCGCGGAGAGGTAAACAAACCGCGCGCGGGCTGCCGGCTGCGGCGGGCGCGGCGGGGGCGGCGGGGGCGGCGGGGGCGGCGGGGGCGGCGGAGAGCGCGCCGAGCCGCGGCCGGGCTGGCCCGCCCGCCCGCCGCACATGTGCCGGGGCGGCGCCGGCCTGTAGCCGCCTGCGGCGCCTCCTGTCGGCCGGGGAAGGGAGCACGGAGAGGCCCCGGTCGCCAGCAGCGGTGCCCATGGAGAGGGTGCGGATGATCAACGTGCAGCGCCTGCTTGAGGCGGCCGAGTTTTTGGAGCGCCGAGACCGAGGTAACGGCTGGGCGCCCCCGCCTCCGCCACCACCCGAGCCCGCGCACTCCTCCGCGCGGGGAATGCGGTGCGATGTGTGAGGGGAGGGAGGGCGCGGGTGGGAGGAGCGGGGTACGTGCGTGAGCAGGGGAGGCAGGGCTGCGTGCGTGAGGGGTGCGTGTGTAAAGAGGTGCGTGCAGGAGGAGTGTGAGTGAGGAGCGCGTGTGTGAGGGGAGGGAGGGTGCGTGTGTGGGGAGCGGTGCGCGGGCGACAGGTGCGTGCGTGAGGAGGGGTGCGCGTGTGCGGGGAGGCAGGGGTGCGTGTGAGGAGAGGAGCGCGTGTGAGGGGAGGTGCGTGGTAAGGGGGGTGTGAGGAGGGGTGCGCGCCTGAGGGGAGAGCGGGTGGGGAGGGGTGCGGGTGATGGTGGGCGCTCGGAGCCGGCGAGGGGAGGGGTGCGGGAGGGGCCGCGCGGGCCTGTGTGTGCCGGGAGGACGAGGATCTGGGGGCAGAGGGGAGGTGGGCCAGAGCAGAGGGAGGGAGTGTGTTGAGAGTGGGCGCCAGCCCGAGGACTTGGGAGGCAAGAGGGAAGAAAGAACTGAAGCAAGGGGGAAGGGGGCGGCGCAGGTAGGGGTGGAGGCGGCGAGGCTGGCGGCCGAGGAAGAGAATGCCTGCCGAGGAGCCCGTGGGGAGGAGGATGCACACCTGTGGGGAAGGGACCTCTGAGAAACTGAGGTGGGAGGAGACGGGACCCCATTTAGGGACCGAGACTCGAAGAGTTGTAAAGAGACTGGGGAGTGAAGAGTAGGAACTCTGGAAATTAAAGTGTCGGGGGAGAAAATGTCCTCCGAGATGAGGCAATTGAATGGTTTGAAATACGTGAAAATGGAGCGCTAAGTGAGACACCTAGAATGGAGAGAGTTAAAGGGGGGTTTCGAGGCGGGTGAAATAATTGAGGTGGGTGGCTACTAGTCTCAGAAATCAGTGTGTTTCAGTCAAGAGTTTTGGAGAAAAGGATTTTGGAGAGGATGGAGAAATTACTTGGTTTAGAAGAAGTATTTGTACCCCTTTCAGGTGATGGGTTGGGTCTGTATATAATGTTACAGGATCGATGTCCTGGGAAGGACTGACTGAGAATTTTATCTTCCAACCAAAAAGGGGAAAAATGTTAACCTCCTTTTCTTCTGCTGTTTTCAGCAGCATTTTACTGCAGGGACTTTAGATCTGTGGATCCATGGATTTGGGTACATTCCTGTTATCATCTCTCTCTCTTTTTTTTTTTGCTGTCTCTTTAGAGTGTGAACATGGCTATGCCTCCACGTTCCCCTCCATGCCGAGCCCCCGGCTGCAGCATTCAAAGCCCCCAAGGAGATTGAGCCGAGCACAGAAACACAGCAACGGGAGCAGCAACACCAGCACTGCCAACAGGTAGCAAGCTGGGAGGTTTAGAAAGGGCAGCTGGAGGGAGGGAGCACACACTCAGGCAAAAGTGCAGGCCCTCTCGCCTCAGTTCTCTAATACCAAGTCTGGAGCAACACTGAATAGCCAAATGAGTTCCTTTACCACCATCCCTGGAGATTTGGCCCTTTTAAACTAATAAAGTCTGGATATCATAACCTGACTTTGTGTGGAAGGGAAGGAGTAGAATCCAAAAGAAAACCAAAGAGTTCTTGCTGGGTTTATTAAGTGGGGAGATCTGTGTCTGAGAGGGACAATAAATTAAGAGACTTGACAGCATGTGTCCATGCATGCAACCACATGCTAAAAGTAGTCTTGGGCCAACTTTAAACTTGGACGATCCAAGAAGAATTTTTAAAAACCAGAAATAGCTCAGGCAGGATATAAAGCAGAATCAAGGGTTCTGTTAAAGGAATAAAAATATTTGGTTAGAGTAGGAAGTTAGTGGGCAAGGTCTATTTGTTATTTAAGGGTGAAAGGGAAGACCATGCTATGAAAGTTGTATCTCTTAACTTGATAAGATTGAGTTGGTAAGGGAGCTTTTAAAGAAGAAGAAGAAAAAAAAAAAAAAACACAGAGAAAGAAGATGCTTATTTTTCAGTCCAAAGAGATCTCTAGAAAATGCTTGTCTGTATGTACTCAGACATAGTTGACTTCCATTTTTTTGAAAACTTTTGGTAGTGCCTGGCTGTCTTTTCAGTGTTTTGTCCCAGAGGGTCAGTGAATTCTAAGGATTCAGCTCATAGGAACTTTTGAAAAGGTCATCTTTAAATCAACAGATGCTGTTTTTTCCATTGACAAGAGGAATTAAATGAGACCTTTTTTTCTGATCCCCAAAGCTTTGTCTAGAGAATGTAAGCATTTATTTTGGAGAGGCACAGAGCAATCTCTGGGTAACTAAGGTTGCCTGAAGAGTTTGGGGAACTCCAGACAGGTAGTTGGGTAGTCACTTGGGGAAGTAGATTGGGGAGAGAGCAGGAATAGGGGCTCTTACTAATAGATGCAGGAAACTTGAGGCTCCTACAGATAGTAATTAGAGCTCAAAAGTTTGGATCTTCCCACTCTGCATTTTTGACATTGCTGAGGCAAAACTAGGATTCACCCTTCCCCCTTTGACTAATCTTTAAAGCTGTGTGTTTCCTTTTTTGGCTTCTTCATTAGGACTATTCTGTGTTTTTTTGTTTTTTTTTTTAAAGATTTTATTTATTTATTTGACAGAGAGATCACAAGTAGGCAGACAGGCAGGCAGAGGGAGTGGGAGAAGCACTCTCCCTGCTGAGCATGGAGCCCAATTCAGGGCTCCATCCCAGGACCCTGGGATCATGACCTGAGCCAAAGGCAGACACTTAACGACTGAGCCACCCAGGCGCCCCTATTCTGTGTTCTTTAAACTTAAATTTTTTTCTTTTTAAGATTTTATTTATTTATTTGACAGAGCGAGAGAGGGAACACAAGCAGGGGGAGTAGAGGAGGGAGAAGCAGGCTTCCAGCCGAGCAGCGAGCCCCATGCGGGGCTCGATACCAGGACCCCGGGATCATGACCTGAGCCGAAGGCAGACGCTTAACGACTGAGCCACCCAGGCGCCCTCAAACTTAATTTTTAAAATTATAAAAATAGTTAGCTATAAGCTTAATATGCTGTATTTATGTTTATGTGTTGGTCGGTCTAGAGGGTTTTTTATGGTATGATAGTTTTGGAATGAAAATATGTAATATGATATGCAGCATTTGAACAAATAAGTATGAATTTTTTTGTTCTTCACAGTTTCTCTGGTTCAGTGTCAGCAACTAGGATCTATATTTCAAGAATTCAAATTCATGGGTTTTTCAGTCCAGATGTAGATTAAAAAAGGTTTTTTTTGTTTTTGTTTTTTAATTTAGAGACATGCAAAGAGTATCACATAGGAAACCAGACCTGGGTTTTGTCATGCTACAAGTATTTACTGAGTCTTTCCTATTTTGTAGAAATCAGGTAAATGATCTTACTACATTTTTTCTTCGTCCCTCTTCTCATCTGTAAAATGAAGGGAACGACTACATATTTACCAAGGTCCGTTTTTCCTCTGAAGTTCTATGGCACTGATTTATTGACAGTTCTAGAGATCAATTACAATATTAGTTATTCAGTATACCACTCCATCATTGCAGATGTGGCATTGTTACTAACAATTCAAGGATTATAGATGCATAAATAAGATACACGTTTCTAGATTTTACCAGTTATGTTACAGGTCATTAGTAAATCTTTGTCATCTATTGATTTATACCTTGCTCAGCTTGGGGTTTTGACTAAGTGGTGTTTCTGTTTCATGGTAGTGTTCCTGTTAGGATTCTACTATTGTGTGTGGGACCACAGTGCTAATTACTGTATGTTTTAACACAGCATATCAGAAAATCTGGAAAACTACAGGCATGCCATGTTCTTATAGTACCCATGGGAAAATAATTATGTATACATTGGACCACCCAAGACTAAGGAAGATAATTTTTCATAGGAATATAAGTAGTAAGAAGAAAAGAAAAAGAGAGAGCAAGAAATAGATTTTAGAATATATTAAGGTCCACCCATGTGTGGGGTTTGACTGGGACCTATAGATGAGAACTAGTATGTTAAAGTCAAACACTAGAAATTATTATTCCTTACCATTTGTTTAAAACTTCTGCTTCAAGGAATAGAGGAGCTGAGGATCAATTTCCAGTGCTGGGGTATATGGGAAATGGGGTTGTTAGTCCATTTGAAGGAGACCTTATGTCCATAAGGTCTGTTAACTTTAGGCCTATTACTGGATTAGTAGAAATTTTATTATATTGGTTACATAAAGCAGAAAGAAATAAGACTTGTAAAAATTCTCCATTTATTAGTCATCTGAAACAAGGAAAGGAATAGAGTTATGAGCATATCTGTCTTATTTTCCTGATCAAAAAGCTACTTGTGTGGAAGTTGCTGTTACTATTATGCATCTTGGACGTTGATATCTTGTTTGTCATAAGATGATATTTGTTTCCCTGACATTTTAGCATCTTTCAGATATAATTTTGGTTGGCTTTTCCCCCCTAATATTCTCAGGTGTAATATGATCTCCCTGATATAACTCCTAATATTTTAAGTCTTGAAATCTTATTTTCACATAAGTACAAAGGAGAGAAAGAAATAAGTGATATAATGTGATATTACAAACATGTACCTTGAAAATCCCAGTAATTTTATCATTTGATATCCTTCTAACTGACAATTCAGAAGTGGGACCTATAATATGTAATTATTTTTTAAATACGTGGTTGACTTTACTGTAGTCTTGGTCATGACCTTCTGGCACATTTCCTAAAATCACCCTTCCTAAGATGTTACTGCTATTAGAAAACCTGGCTGCAATTGCTATCTGGCTTATTGAGGAACGTCACATAAGCTCAAATTCCCAGCTTTTTACTGTTTGGTCTCACAACTGAAAAATTTAAAGATCTATCATCTTTAAAACTCTACTAATGCTACTCTACCTGGCTTCATTATAACACTGATTTTCTCCTAAGTATCTCTTGAATCTGCCTTCTTTTCCCTTATCTTCTTTACTTCCCTCCTAATGAGATACCATCTATCTTTCACCTGGAGAACTATTGTAACCTCCTAACTGGTATCCATGTAACTACTCGTGCCCCATATACAATTCTGATGAATTATATTGGCTAGCTTTCTTTCAATTTCTTCAATACACCATGTTTCCTCCTACTTCAAGGTCTTTGCACATATTCTGTTCTTTACCCTTTTGCCGAGTTGTCTCTATCTAATAACACTCTTATTTCAACTCAATCATAACTTCTTCAGGGTAGCCTTTTCTCATGAGCCAAAGTAGATCAGGTGTTCACATGATGACACTCCTACTTTTCCTTCATGGTGTTTATCATAGTTTGTAGAAATACAGTTCTCTGATTGATAAATTCATGTCTCATTCATTGGACTAAAAACTCCATGAAGGCAGAAATTGAATCTCTTCTGCTTAAGGATTTATCCCCAGTATCTATCACAATGCCTTGTACATAGTAGGTGTTTCTTAAAAATGGAAGGTTTTCAAACTCCAGGTAGACTACCCTCTGTGGAACTGAATTTCTCTTTTGTGCTGAGTACCATATTAAAGTCTGGAAGAAGAAATGATGCAACTCCTACTTTGGCAAACTCTGATTACATTGTATTCTAAAGGATGTTAGCGATAATATACTTGGAAAGGAAGATAATATGTAGTAGTTGAAGACTAAAAATCTCCAACTTCTTTTAAATGTATATTATAGTATACTATAGTATAATATATAGGTATATTAGAGTAGACTATAGAATGTCGCAATTAATTTTAAAGAACACTCATTGCCATCCTGTCGTGAAAATAAAATATTAAAACATATCCGCAAGAACCATATGTGTGTCAAATATTGGCAATAAATGTTGGTATGAGTCTGACACATAGTAATTGCCTTTTTAAGGTGATGTAGAAAGTAATAGTAAGTACCATTGCCATCCTGTCGTGAAAATAAAATATTAAAACATATCCGCAAGAACCATATGTGTGTCAAATATTGGCAATAAATGTTGGTATGAGTCTGACACATAGTAATTGCCTTTTTAAGGTGATGTAGAAAGTAATAGTAAGTACCAATTTATGTTTGAATTTTAAGTTGATGAAAAATTTATTCTATTTGATATCCTTTGGATAGTAAAGAATCTCACAATACCAGCCACATTTCAATTCCACTTGCTAGGATTGAGGACATTAAAAAACAGAACAGCTTTCCTTTTGCTTATAAGGCTTTATTTTAACTTTTCTTAAACTACAGAATTATGAAATGTTTTAGTCTTGAAGGGAATGATTGTATTGTTACATTTTTAGCTTTAAAGACTTTTTGGTTGTCTTCTTCATGGATTATTAGTTTTTTGGGGGAAGTAGTGGTGAATTCTTTTTTTAAGAAACTATCCTTTTACCAGT